TATTCCCTACCTTGAAGTCTTAAGCCATGTAGATCATTAACCTGATCATTAACATCAGCCTTTGTATTACATTTACCAGAACCCTGTTAGCTGTAAGTAACCACAACACTCCCTTTGTAACTTTTTGGCTATAAAAACCTTTTCTTTCCTGAGAGTTGTTGCTGTTCTCTGACTGGCTTTTGGGGTGAGATAGTCACTGGCCAGCTCTCTTGTGTACACAATATAAGCTTTCTTTAATTTGATGTAAAATTGGAGTCAGTGCTCTTTTCTTTGTGTTGTGGTTCAATAGTAGCTGAAGCCTTAAGCATTAGTCAAGCAATGAACACTACTCAATGTATTGGAAGGGGATGAAAAAGAAAATACAAAGGAAACAAGTGAGAAAGGGAAGGAAGACCACAGAAAAAATGAGAGGAAGCAGAATGAAGGAGTAATGAAAGGGATGGAGAAGAGAGAAAAAAACTACTGAGGAAAATCACAGGTAATTGAAAAGTTTGCCATTTAATAGATCTTTGAAAGAACAAATGTGGGGAGATTTTGCAGGACACTTGAGAGTAAAGAAGTAGTGCAAAAACAATCACAAAGGGATCTGGGTTTTGTCCTTGCTGAGGATTTTAAAATGGGGAGGTTTCCATAGATTTGGATTTAACATCCCTGGGTATGAAAGTGTTTTTGACATGAAATTATTCTACTCATTTTTGCATCTCAGCTTTGACCCAAACTGGACAAACTTGTCAGGGGTCTGTCTGCTTAGCTCTGCCTGCTTCTTGCCTGCTAATGAGTGTTGGAAGAAATTTTCCTGTTCAGAGCAGAAGAAGTCCTCAGAGTGGCTCTCTTTTTCTATCTGTATTGGAAGTGTGGCTCTGGCTGCAGATGCTGGCCAGTCCCCTCTCCTGGACAGCCTGTGAGTCAATGCAGATTGCAAGACTCAGGTGCTTTCCATGTGCTGGGGGAGGAGTCTGGAAATTGCCTCCAGACACCTCTGGACATGGGGAAACTGGGGCATACTGAGCTAGAATGCTGAAGGTAGCACCTTTCCACACCCAAGCTATACACAGTTCTATGTCCCAGTGGCTTTGATCCTTATCTGAGAGTTCAGATCCCCTTTTTGAAATAGAAGTACCCTTTTGGTTGTCTCCACTATGCAGACCTACAGCCTAGAAGCCAAACTTTCTGTCACTACCCAAAGCTCCTGCTAAAACTTTGGCACATTCCCACTCCTGTGTCCAGGTGGACTCAAGACTTGGGCACCAAAGTCAGTGAAAATAGCAGACACATGGCCACTCCACCTTGGGTACACAAACAAAACCAACCCCAATGATACCTCATTACAAGTTCTGCTCCCTCACATGTTGAAGTGTAGCATTAGAGAAGCATGCTGAGGCAAGCATATAAAGCAGGGTTTATTTAAAAATGGGTAACAGACTTCTCCTGGGAGGGAGAAGGGTGCCATAGCTGCTATCCTGGTATCCCAAGAGTGAGGTGTCCTGCCCTTTTATATGTCCTAGCCTTCCTTTGTTCTCCTGCCCTCTTCTTATCTTCCTCCTTCCTGCTTATAGGACTAGGCCTAGGAAATGCTCAGCAGGATGGTCAAAAGGTGGGAAAAAGATGGGCTGAAGGGCAAAGGGCAGGGTGGAGCAGCTCAGGGCACATTCATTAACAACCTTAAAGCTCACTACAGGGAGGGGCGATTCCTGGGACAGGTCACCTTAGCAACAGGTTGGAGCTGGGGTAGGTTCTCCCTGAGTGTGGAGAAAGCTCCCTAAAGGAATTAACATTTTGATCTCTCAGGGGACAGTGTCCAACTTCCAGACTCACTCAAAATTGGCCTCTTGATCTGACCTGATTTGATTTGCCTATCTATGCTGACTGCCTGTCTAATTCTGGCTTCACCAAGACAAAAAATAATAAAAGACAAAACCAAACAAAACAAAAACCAAAAGAAAACTGCAGGGATTCTAATTTCTTGGGCAGCAAGTGGACACAGAGAGTCTGTAAGCTGGCAAGACTCCCACATTCTCTACATTGCAGGGAAAAGCCAATTTCTCTCCCATACTAATTCCTTCTCATTATCAGAGTGGTTTCTGGCTCAGATTGTGAAATTGCTGGACAACACAGCCTGCTTCCTCTTCACCTTTCACCCTTGCCACTACTTGTCCCCACAGTCTGCTCATTTTATACATTCACCTTTTATTCTAAGAACTGACAATCTGCTTCTTCTGGCCTCAAACCCTGGGAGACACCCTCCAGAACTTCCCTGCTCTTTCTACCTCATCTCATCTTATAATGTCAGATTTGTGGGACCCCAATATGTAGTGCCAGATTCATGGGACCCCAATAGACCTCCAGGATCCAAATCCAATTTAATCATACAAGAGTCCTTATTGCAAGCTCGAGCCTGGACTCACAACCATTTCTGACACAGGGGTCCTGAAGAGTGAGTTCTGGTCCTTTGTTCAGTGAGATTTTATAGGTTTTGGGGGGATACTCTATGTGTCACAACATCACTCAGCAAGTCATTTCACGCCATGGGAAAATCAAACAACAACTCTTAGCATTGATTAGCATATTCACTGGAGGGAAGAAGTTGGGTAGGTGTGATGGGTGAGTTCAAGAAGTGGATATATTTGAACTGATTGGTTTAAGCCTTCAGGGGTGTACATGCTAAACTACATGGTTTCCTAACATGTTATCAACCACTGAGACTACTGGGGGTATCTGGCATCCCAGGTATTTTCCCTGTCTCATGCTGATTGGTGGTTGCTAGGGGGTTGCTATCTCACCTAGCCTAACTGAGTCAGGGACACCTGGCATCACAGATCTCTCCTGTTATTAGCAGACAAACAACTCAGCAGAGTGGCTAGGTGCCTAGGAGTGCTCTGTTGGTTTTTCCAAGGACAAAGGTTTCCACCCATTCCCTTTGGACAGGCCTTGAGGTAGAAGCTGGGTTTTCAAAAATGGAATCACAGTAGTTTCTCAATCTCTGCAAATCTGTGCTTCCCATTCAGCCTTGGACAGCAGTGGCTGTGCACTGGGTTCCCCTACTGGCCATTTTCAGAAGACCCTTGCAACAAATTATCAATATCTTCTTGGAAATATAAATTAGCCCATGCCCTGACATGGCTCTCTCCATCACAATAACAATTTTTTTGTTAAACCATTTTCTTCTGGAAAACGTTTCTACTCACCTTTCATTATGTTTTAAAATCCACTATTCTGCCAGGCAATTGTGCCTTTTGCCCATGGGACACATATCTGCCAGATTTCTGGCCAGATTCCTATCATTAGAATGCTTCCCATGCACAGGATGGACCCAGGGCTATTTATAAGTGAATGAAGACCCAAGTTATCTTGCAAATTCCCCCTCAGGAGTAGCCTTCCCTCATTGATCTCAAAGTAGGTGTGAGGAAACAGATTTAATGTAGTCTGGGATATCCAATCAGCCTGAGAGGGTGTGTTCCCAGCTGAAGATAGGATAGGATCAGTGTCTGTGAAGCCAGGGTATGTCCCTGGAATGTGGCCCTGATTAGATTTAGTAATTGATTATTCATATAAATAAGGAAGTCAAGCAGAGGTTGCCTGTTCTCAGAGAAGGGGCACTGAAAGGTCCACATTCTGGGAGAAGAGCAAGTCCCTGCTCACATGAGGAACCCTACTGGCTGTCTTCCCCTCCAACTCTTATTTCCTGGTGAGTTCTCCAGACAATGGGATGGGAGCCTCCTTGATCACAGTGAGATAAACCCTCTCTCTCATGGAATTTGTGCAATCACAGCAGCATGTATGGTCTCTAAATTGTATTGTTTCAACAGGGACTTCTCCATTCTTACTCTGATTATTAGGAAACCATTTCCATATGTCTTGAATCTAGGTTATAATCTAAATTTCCTCTTCCATAATTTTGTATCTTGCTACTATGAACAACCAATAACTAGTGATTATAAATTTAAATGACTCATCATTCAAATGGAAATGAATTCATATATCTGTAATCCTTGTCATTTGCAATGTTGAGAAAGGAGAATTGCAAAAAAAAAAAAAAAAAAAAAAATCCTGAGAAATGTACCAGGGTCTTCAGTAACTTAGTGAGACTCTGACTCAAAAGAAAACTACAAAAATTACTAGGTTTGTGGCTCAGCAGTAAGAGTCTGTTGGGTTCAATCCCCAGTATGAAATATCAAATACAAAAGGCTCTTCTGATTCAAGTGGTAGATGTTTCTTTTTTTCTAGCTCCATTCTTATGGATGAACTGAACTATGAAAATCTTGCAAAGCTGGGTGTTTGTTGTAATCCAATTATGTCAAGTTGGATTCTCCATTAATATCATTGACATCGGTTCCTATTGATTTCTTGTGTACTGTGTGTTTAAATCTGTTCTCATGTACTATAGATTTGGTCTCTGCTTTTATCCCTGACATTGCTAGAATATAAAAGGCACTAGGGAAGAACAATTCACTATGTCCGGCATTGAGAAGAACAATTCACTATGTCTGGCATTGACAAGAGGCATATCCCCTGCATTGGATAGAGGATTTATCCCATCCCGAACACTGAGAATTATGAGGTCATGGGGTCATGGTTTAGATATGAGGTTCAGAAGGCTTGCATGAGAGACAAAGCATGAAAGTTAGAGGTGAGAGATTGGATTATGATAACTTTCACCTAATCAGTGATTTAAAGCCTTAAAGGGATTAACTGGGTGGTGACTGAGGGAAGGTAGGATGTAGCTGAGTTTTTTAATCACTCAATGCATTCCTTTGGGTTTTTATTTTGTTTATGTAAGTTTTCTCTTTTGTTTCTTGCTATTATGTCCTGTCCTGACTTCTTTTTAGTTTTCTCTACATTTTTCAGAGTTGCATTATATTTGTACACGATGATGGGATTTGTTGCTCCGTATTTGTACATGCACACAGTATACAACATAGAGTGGCCAATATCACTCCCCAGCATTTTCTTAGGCCCCTGCTGCCTCCCTCCCACCCCTTGCTCCTTTCCTCTACTGATCTCCTGTCATTCTTGGGACATCCACACCCACTCTTATTTTCCTCTCTAGCTTCTGCCTATGAGAGAAAACACAGGACATTTAACTTCCTGAGTTTGACTTATTTCCCTTAACATACTTGTGTCTAGTTCCATCCGTTTTCCTGCAAATGACAGAGTTTCATTTTTCTTTCTAACTAAAACCCCCCTGTGTAAAGATACCACATTTTCTTTGTGCAGTCATCTGTTGATGGACACCAAGGCTGGTTCCATAGTTTAGCTATTGTGAATTGTGCTGCCATAAACATGGGTATGCCTGTGTCACCATAGTACAATTACTTAATTCTTCTGCAACCAGGAACCAAGTTCATGTTGAAACATGCTGGGAGGACCGGGAATTCCCAAGCCTGCATCTCAGTGGTGAGGAATGCCTCAAACCCTACCTTGATAGAGAGGATAAAGAGAGACTCCTCCCTGATGTCTTCCTAAGGGACCTGAAGGGAGATGACAAGTTGTACGAATACCCTTGCTGACATCACAGTGATGTGTCACTACTCCTGCTATGTCATGTGGATCAGTGAAACTTTGCCTACATGAGTGACTAATTAAGAATCACTAAACCAATTGTTAGTTTCTTCAAAACTGCTCTATAGCTAGGTTGTTTTTTTCTGAAAGTTAACTGTATTTGGATATATGGTGTGAAACGAGGCAAATTCAATCAAGATAATTGTGTGCATTTACCATTGCAATATGATCAGTACCCTCACAACAGAAGGAGTTTGGGGAAGGGTTGGGAGCAGCAAGACTATGTAGAGACACAGGGTGGCCAGCCTGTACAAGGCAGGAACAGTGGTCTCAGAAGAAACAGGCCCTGCAGACATGTTGATATCACAATCCTAGCCTCCAGAATCATGAGAAAATCAGTTTGTTTTTAAAGCCACTCTGTCTCTGTCTTACTGTTATGAAAGTTATGAAACTCTTATGAAAGCCCTTTCAAACTTGGTGAACTAACACAATAATCTTAGCAGAAGGCATACTAATCTTTTGAAAATATGGATGAAATTAGAAAGTGATTTTCAACAATTTTGAGAAGAAAAATTTTGTGGATTATAAAATTATGGCTTATTTAGAAAAATATATCAGATTCTAAATACTTTGAAAGCCAACAGGAGTTGATTCTGAGTTTAGTCATGGATGGACACCCAGTCAAGGGTTCTCAGATGCAGTAGAAGAAGAGACACATACAAGCATTCCCCTGCTACAGGGGCTGGAGGAAAAATGTGGGAAATGGTGTAGCAAAGACCACATGAGCTTGATGAGTGTGTGTTGAAATGAGTAAGAACATAACAAGTTGAGCAGTGATAAGAAAAAGAGGATGGGGTTTGGGTGGTGGGGTCAGTGCACTGGAGGATCCTGAATGGTTGGGTCTGGGAAAGGAGAGTGAGCTTGATAAATGAGAAGGAAGGCCGTGCCCTGACAGGTAGGGCTTGTGCTCTTTAACAGCAGAGGCACTATCGCAGTTCAGCTTAGAGGTTGTGTTGGTGTGTTCAAAGACATTGTGCTCAGCCAAAGGGAAAGAAAGGGAAAAGTGTTGCGTTTTTTCAGTTGGATAAATTTATCCAGTAGGATGAATTTATCATCTAAGGAAGACCATGTAAATCTTTGTTTAGGTTTAAATGATGAATTGCCCTTTAATCAACAGGGTTATGATAAAACCCCAATATTTGAAAATTTGTAATCATATTTAGTATATTATTGGTGCTTTTTTTTGTTTTGCTTTGTGTTTCTTTGTTTTGTTTCTTTGTTTTTCATTGGGATAAATCTCAGGGAAATCGTGTCATGGAGCTACATTCCCAGCACTCTATTTCTTATTTTTCATATTTTGAGAGCAGGGATTGAGCACAGGGATGCTTAACCCCTGAGTCCCATCCCCATCCCCAGCCTATTTTGTTTGTTTGTTTGTTGTATTTTGAGACAGAATCTCACTTAGTAGTTTAGAGCCTGGCTGTTTCTGAGGATGGCATTGAACTTTGGTCTTCCTGCCTCAGCCTCCTGGGTGGCTGGTCTTTCAGGTGTGCATCATGCTCCTGGATTTTTCTCTTTTTTCAGTGGAGGCACAATAACATGAGTGAATTTTAGTCTTCATAATAAAAAATTGTAATTCCTCCACAAAATTTATGATATGTTGATGGATAGTAGTAAAAGTCATAATTACTCCACAAAATTTATGTTATGATGATGGATACACTACAATTTTAAATATCTGTCTCATATGTATGTATCTATAATTAAAAACTGATATCACAACTGATGATGGATGGATATTGAACAGGATTTCAAAAGTTTCAACCAGCACATTAGCAAATGACCAGACTAATCAAATAGATTTCATCCTGATCCCAGTCATCATCTATGAGCATCATTTCTGAACATCCTTAATATTAATTAATGTGACCATCCCTGACACTCCCACTAGGACCCCAGTACTTAAGCTGATTTGGATAAATGCAACTATAAGGGCTGGATTGCCAGGATGATGCCATTGATTCCTCAAAATGGAAATCCACTTGAGTTGATTCATGCTTTCATAATAGAGATCCTGACTTGACTGCTCCTAAATCCAGGAACAATAGATCTACCTCATGGGTGAGGGAGGGTTGGCAGGGAGTGAGACTCCAAGGGGACACAATTTAACTTAGAGAACCACTGCTAACAAATAGAGCAAAATCAGTGAAATCTGAGAAATTCCACAATGTTTCCCTAGAGGTGGAAACCAAAGTCTGCATGTTGGTTAAAAAAGTGATATTTCTTCAAAATCTAAGAGCATTTTATAACTCTGGACCCGTAATTGGGCAATTCACATGTGAAAATCAAGGTTTTCTATTTATATGTAAATGCATATATGGAGGTTTAATTTCTTCATTTTTGTTAGCGATCATGTTCACATTCTTTTGAATTTTGGTTTTGGAATATGAACCGAGTACTGCACCCATAACATTTGGGCAATCTGAATTTTCCTTGTGTTAGCACTGCATTTTAGACAAAAGAATGTCTAGGATTCATGAGAGAGGAGTCAGGATGTCTTCTAAATATGTTGAATATCATGATTTTTCTTCTTTATCCACAGTATTTTCTGAAAATTGTTTGGACTGTGTGTGAGTGAAGAGGAAGATTGCAGAAAGCAAAACCATGACTATGAATCCATTAGTGGTTGAGCAGTGAATGGCTTTTCTATTGAAATTTTCCCCCTATTGACAGAGATGCCAAGTCTTCAGTGCAAGCAGGAGTTAGTCCTGTACCCCACAACTCTGCAGTTGTCACCATGGGTCAGGAACTCATCAGCAGGCAACTGATGTCCTTCCTGTTAGGACACCACTATACCATGGTACCATTCCTGGCTGTGTACTTCCAGAAGGAATGGGACATATTGAATCTCACATTTTGCCTATGACTCCATTTGAAATAATTACTGATTAATGATGTTACTTATTGCAATGATGTTTGGATTTTGGTGAATTCAGGTGAGGGAAATGAGTGAGGAGTAGAACCTCACAGCCAAACATGGAGGCAGATATTCTAGCACATGAATTCTGTTGACACAGTGCCACAGGCATTCAAGTAATACTGAGAAAAAAATAAAAGACCTAGGCTAGAGAAGGCATGAGAAATAATGGGGTTTTTTTGCAATTTTAAACTTAGAGTTTTATGGAATAAATTTCAACTTTTGATAACCCCCCTAAAAAAACCCTAAATTAATCATGATCATTTGTATTTAAAATTTTGTTACAACTTACTAATAAAATATTCCTTCATATTTTCTACTGTAAGTTGTTTACGCCAACTTATATTAACCTAATTGATGTTTGTCATTAAAATATACTATTAATTCATATAGTAGACAGAGCAAATTTTTTGAAGAACTGGATACATGAAAACTAATAAAGGAACAGAGAAATGAGATCAAGATATCAGAGAGACATTGAAAAGTAGTGTTTGGAGCTCAAGAGAGAATTGAGGATGAGAGTTGTAGTATAGGGATGGTTGCTGGGACTCTGCCTCAGAGTACGTCTCAGAGACTGTGCCTTGTGCTGCTCAAATGTCTGTCCTTAACCTTATTCTGACCTCCTTGGTCACATTGTGAGAAGAGTGACTCTTCCTACTGACACCAAGTTATATGCAATTTGTTCAGTTCTCAAAAATTCTGGAGATTGGTTCAAGAATGTCTGCATTATTCTGCTTATAGGGTTATAGTTTAAACATGTTTTGAAGATATAAAGAAATTCATTGGCCTTTTAAACACTCACATTACTAAATATTTTACTGATGAGGGATATAAGATACCTCTTTGAGAAAATGACTATTTTATACATAGTCAATTTTCAAGATGACAAATTAATGTTAAGGTTGGCCTGGTGATAATTCTGGAAAGTTACTTAAATAAGTGGGGATTTAAATTTTAGTTGAAAATGTTCAAGTGAAAATTTTATAATAGCATGATTGAAAGTTATTCTTACCAGTCCTTAAAATGTTTTTCATGTTTCATGACTCTCTATCATTCCATATTCCTTTACTATAAATTCTATGAATTCAATCAATGCATGTACATTCTGGTTTTCTGAAAGTAAGCAGGTTGGGAGCTGAAAATGAATAGGCTGGAGCCTTTAACAGTTTGATCTCCCTGCAAACCTAGTTTCCCCTATGCCTCATGCTGTCCTCTCAACCCTTCTTTTGTGAAATTGATCTCCTTGCTCTTTCTAATCTAGCTTGTCAATTCCGTTCTAGGAATTGATGTCCATTGAAGATGTAAGCATAAGTTTCACCCAAGAAGTGTGGGCCATGCTGGACCAATCTCAGAAAATGCTACACCAGTCAGTGATGCTGGAAATCATTAATCATCTAGTATCAGTTGGTAAGTCCATCAATGATATATATGAAATATGTGAAAGTATACCTATTTCTTCAATAACAGTATCTGGAATAGCCTCTCTATTCATTTCCAATCTTCATCCTGATTTTCTCATAGAACTTATAATTACATGCAAGAAAGCTGCTTTTATTTATTACTTTAATCACAACTTATTTTACTCCACACTACAATATGGTCCACACCATAATGTTATGTATTCATTAAAATTAAATTATACATAGACCCAATATTTATAAATAATTATACTTATATTGTCACTGTGCAGGAGGATTGAATACCAAAACAAGAGAATTCTGAACATTTTTGTGTGATTATTTGCATTCCATTTGAAAGTAATATTTAGTGGAGAGATGAAGTACCTGAAAAACTGCTGATTTGGCATTCTTTGAATGTCATTGTGAGCATGTGTGTCCTTCAGTCCTCCCTGGTATGGGAGCATTCTATCTTTTATTCGACTGCAGTGAGGGAACTTCAATATTTTCTCTGCTAAATAGTTTCTACCAGTGCCTTGGTTCTCTATTGTTGTTAAGTCATCTTCATGGCATTTTCACTAATGCACATTTCTTGGCAGAAATGCTAAAATCCAATGGCTTTTTTTTTTCTTACCATGCATAGGGTATCTGCTCTGCAAATCAGATGTGACTTTGTATCTGGAGGAAGGAAAAATCCTGTGGATGGGAGAAGGGACAGGATTTCTCCCAAGCCAGAGTCCAGGTAAGAGACCGAGACATTTGTGATTCTACAGAGATGGGTGCCCAGCCAGTGACTGAGCATGGAAATATTATCAGACAAAGCTGTGAAATGAATGTGGTTGTCTAAAATATAGTAGGGGACTATGGGACAAAATTTCTCATGTATAACATAGTTCCTTTTAATTTAAATTCAAAATGTTTCCTCTATATTTATATTTTCATTGAGAGGAAAACCTGTTAGTGTATTCTTTAGTCAATTTCCATGTCTCTTTTTCAGATTTTCTCCTTTAAATTTTATCCTCCATTACATTTTTAACAATAATTCTATCTTGATGTTTTTTATAATTCCCAATGTTCTATTTTTCCAAGATATATATTTTTTTATCTAAGCCATATCCTCCATGAAAGAGTCAATGATGAAAAAAGACATTCTCATGAGATTGCTGACTTTCAATTTTGTGTCTCTGAATTTCATGCTACCAATTTGTATTTCCAACTCTTCTAGGGACGGAAAATGAATATCAAGAACACTAATTATGTAAGTTAAAGTCCTGTCTGTGGAATAAATTAGTAACCGAGTACAATTTGATGGCTGTCATTATGTTGAGAATACACAACTTCTGTGTCAAAACATCTGTATAGCTTGCATTCTGGGAGAAATTAAAAAGATTCCAAATGCACAAGCATTTCTCATGTAGCTATTTGAAATATTGAAGACTATAAAGTTAATCAGAGCCCCTTTAAATAAAATACTAGTAAAGGAAAATACTCGGCTCACCTGGGAATTATCTACAATGTTCATGAAATTAAAAGTAAAAAGATTTTCATTTTCATATTACAATGGATTGTTCTAATATTCTTGTGTAGAAAAATTAAGATTCTTATGTATAAATGTTAAGTTTACATGGAGACATCATTAAGAAATGTTCATCTTTTTTACAAAACAGAAATCTCATGTTAAAGAGGATTCCTTGGAATGGAGAAAAGCAAGGAACCCCTGGGACAACAAACACTGTGCATGATCCCTTGCTAACAATTTGTATCTTGGTGAAAACAAGAAAAATGATCGTGTCTCATGTGAAGGGCAAGAATGTTTGAAAGGACATAGGAATTGTTTATGACCTAGAAAATGCAACAAGAACGACCCTGGAGAGATACAATATGAATGTCGTCTATGCAGCAAATCCTTTAATCAAACTTCTGATCTAAGCAGACTCAATGAAACTAGAACAGGGGAAAAGAAGCATGAATGTGGTTTTTCTGAGAAAGTCTTCAATTACTGCTCTCAGCTTAGACAACATGAGAGAACCCAAACCGGTGAGAAACAAAATGAATGCCACATGTGTGGGAAAGCCTTCAGGAAGACTTACAACCTTAAAATGCATAAGAAAGTCCATGCTGGAGAGAAACCATACAGATGCCATCCATGTGGGAAAGCTTTTTGTAAATTATACAGCCTTCAAATGCATGATAAAATCCACACAGGAGAGAAACCATACAAATGCCAGGTGGGTGGGAAAGCCTTCAGCAAATCAGTTCACCTTAGTCATCATCAGACAATCCACACAGGAGAAAAACCATACCAGTGTCAATTATGTGAGAAATCCTTTGGTCAAACATGCTACCTTAAACTTCATCAGAGAACAAACACTGGAGAGAAACCCTATCAATGCCACCTGTGTGGGAAATCCTTCAGTCAATCTTGTTACCTTAAACCACATCAGAGAATCCACACTGGTGAGAAACCATATGAATGCCATGTATGTGGGAAAGCCTTCAGTCTATCATCTAGCCTTAGACACCATGAGAAAACACATATTGGAGACAAACAATACAAATGTCACCTATGTGGAAAAGCTTTCAGTATATGCTCTGGCCTGAGACAACATGAGAAAACACATACTGGAGAGAAACCATACAAATGCCCTGTGCGTGGGAAAGCCTTCAGTCAATCATCTGGCCTCAGAGTTCATGAGAGAACACACACCGGAGAAAAATAACATGCATGCCACTGTGTGGCATACTCCTTGGCCATAACCCTAGTATTGAAAAATGAAACATGACTTGCCTTGGAGAATAGCCACTGGAATGTCACCTGTGTGGAAAGGCCTCTCTTTAAGACTCTAACCTTAGAAAATATGAGCCATATCAATGAAGAGAAACCTCATGAGTGACATCTATGTGGGAAAGGCTTCAGTCAATCTTACTACCTTAGACTGCATGAGAAAATCAATCATAGGAATGTCAGCTGTTTGAGATGTATGTCCTGCCAATGTTCTGCATGTAGGAACCCATGCTGGAGACAAACTTCAGTTCTTGTAGCATATATTCTAACCTGATATTACAAGATATAATGACTAAATTTTTTTCTTATAGTTCACATATTTTTTCTCCTACTCATATTTTTTCATACTACCAAATTTGAAAATTATCTGATTGTTAACCTACCTTCTTTCTGATATAATACTTTAAGTTATAAATGTTTTTCTGAATGCTCTTTGTCACAGAGATTTGATATATGAAGCCTTCTTTATCACTTTGTTCAAAGCACTGTTTATTTACTTCTTGTGTGCCTTCTTCCTTGACCTGTGAAGTACGTATAGGTGTGCCATTTCATGTTGAAGGACCTGGTTTGTGGTGATGGGGTTCTATAGATCTTAAGGTGATTGATTTCTAATATAATCAGTCATGCATTAAACACAGTCTGCATGATTTTAAATGTTTTAAAAGGCAATGGAAATGCTTAAAATTTAAAACATAAGATTGAATTAGTTACATACATGTCAAAACTGATCAAATTGCATGCTTCCAATATATGCATTTTATTGTTCTTCAACTACTTCAATAAAATCATGAAAAAAATGTGAAGAAACCTTCAATTGTACTTGTGAAATCTAAATCTGAGCACCCCATAACTGAAGAACACCCTTTAATCAGTATGAAAAAATTTGAAGTAATTTGAATCCTCTCTTGGCATACACAAGTTTCTATAAAATAAGCCATATGAATTATGTTTGATTTAAAAAGTCATAATATGTGATCTTTCTTAAATGGAATTAGCTTATTTTAAGAACTGTCAAGGAAATAATGTAGTAGCCTACAATTTTGAACCCTCAGCTTTCTTTTTTTAAGAGAGAGAGAGAGAGAGAGAGAGAGAGAGAGAGAGAGAGAGAGAGAGAGAGAGAATTTTATTTTTTAGTTTTCAGTGGACACAACATCTTTGTTTGTATGTGGTGCTGAGGATCGAACCTGTGCCACACGCATGCCAGGCGATCATGCTACTGCTTGAGCCACATCCCCATCCCCAACTCTCAGCTTTCAACCAACCAGAGTGTTTGACAGGAAAGTCATATTGACACTATCCAGGTCCTAGACAGGGTTTCCTCAATCCCATGTATGTTCAGAACCAACCCCACCCCCTTGTATTCCTCAGGAACTTCTTGATCTTCATTTACATTGCTTCCTTTGTGTCCATTGGGGAAATTTTCAGAATGAAGTATTTTTTTTTAATTGCATTTTCAAGGATTTCACATTCAAGTTTAATGTTCTCTCATCTCTCCCTTTAATCTGGTATTTGCAAGGGTGAAACAAGGTGAATGATTGAATTTCCATTAATAAGTTACAGTTGTACTCTTGTTACTCAGATCAACAATAATTACAAACAGAAAAACACAATTTTAATGTGTGAGACATAATGAAACAAAAAGTTTGGTTTGAATGATAATTTCCCCATGTTCTTTGAACAAGAAAACCTATTTTCATTTGTGCTGGAATTTGTGTAATATGTAGAAAGTCTTTATTACGTCACCAAAGAGATATATTTGGTAGTTTTTTTTTTCCTTTTTCCTGGTTTTCACCAGCCTCAAAATCAACTGGCTTTAGAAGCTACAGACGGAATTTGTTTCACATGATTCTCTTTCTCAGCCTGTTCTCCATCTTTTTCATGTAAATCATTTAAATCTTGTTTGGATGTTCAATTTATGTTGTGAGCTGTTAGAGGGAAAAGGGGAAATTATCTCTGGTTTGTTTCTAATTATGTGCAGCACATTGCCACAAACTTAACGGCAACACCAATAAGATTCATTAAGTCATAGACTCATAGGTCAGAAGTCCAAGTCAGAGCAGGTTGGATCCTCTGGAAGCCTGTCACAGGACCTCATGTAGGTGCTGGCTGCATCATGATCTCAGTGGGGCCGGTTGATCCCCTCACTCTCAGTCTTTCAGGAGGATGCAGTTCCTCAGGGTTGTGGTGCTGTGGACCTGAATTTTGACACCATGGTTTTTGTTTGCTGTCATATATCTCCTTATATTTTGTGAGAGTTTGCAGATTTGGGTGTGTTTGTGTTTGTTGCAGTGTTTGATTCTTTGGGCTGGCTAGACAAGCACTATACCACTGCACTGAATCCCAGGCCCACAGTTGCTTCTTCTGTGCCTGAAGGAGGCCTGTTCAGAGTTTGGTTCTGTCTGCAATCCTCCTATCACAAATAATAGATTCCTGTTACACCACTCAGCTTTTCAGGTTCTCTCAGGTGCCTTCCCTTTGATTAGCTCACGGTGTCTGTAATTGTATGAGCAAACTACCCCCCTCATTGCCAGTTTTTGTGGCTGTGAACAAAATATATGACAAGAACAACTTATGGAACAAGTATTTTGTTTTGGACTCAGTTTTAGAGTTTCAATCTGTGGCCACCTGACTGCAATGCTTTAGGCCTGAGGTGAAGCAGAACATCCTGGCACAAGGGCATGAGAGAGAAAAGATACTCTCTAATGACAACCAGGAGCAGAGAGAGTGTGGAGCCAGGGATGAGGTGCTTATTCCCCAAGGGCATTAGGGGACTATTTCCTCAACCTCTGGCCCAACTTCCAAGTTTCCCTCCAGTAGAAGTAGTAGTAGATTTATATTTTAAATCTCATATTTCAAATTATTGGTCAATCAATTTACTGATCAGGTCACATCCATCTCTCCTAAGGTAATCATCTCACCTCCAAAATTTTGGAACATTTCTAGATTTCTAATATGAGATTTTGAGGAAGACCTCATTTCCAATCCATAGTCCTGAACGAGAGAGCAGAGTGAGGACAATGATGGTGAGTGAGAGCCACATGCAGTCTCATCAGACAGGAGAGCACCTTGAAGATGAAGCCATGTGTGTCAGTACCTTCTTAGGCTTTAATTCCACCTTTGGATGTTGTTAGGTGCAGGACAGGCTGAGTAAGCTGTCTGCAGGACATGCCAAACAAAGTTAGCTGCAGGATCACCTGGCTTCTCTAACCCTCCATCTGATTCTTTATCAACTGTTTACTTCAAGCCCAAATGCCCAAGCCCCTGGTCAAGGCTGAGCGCTTTGCCCCCCTGCTCAAGGCTGAACATGTAGCCCGCTGCTCAAGCCCAAACACTTAACCCCCTTGTGTGCCAACAAGGCAGCTTGCAAACCCAGAGACACCATGAGATTTGGGCTATAAAAACTCCCTCCTGCCGGGCCTCTCTCTCTCTTGCTCTCTCTCTTGCTCTCTCTGTCTCCCTTGCATGCATGCTCTCTTCTCTCTCTCTCTCTCTCTCTCTCTCTCTCTCTCTCTCTCTCTCTCTCTCTCTCTCTCTCTCTCTCTCTCCTCCTCTGTTTCACTGCTGCAATAAAGATTTCTTGGTCACTCCAAGTGTCGTGGTCACTTTCCTTTCAGATGTAATTTGGAAAATCTTTTAAACAGGATGATATTGAGGAAGGACCAACTTACAACTCTGCAATGATTCAACATTTGTTAACTCATAAAGGAAATCAATACAATCTCCACAAACAGTGTGGACCATCACCTAGTGTCAACTTATATCATAATGAGCATCAGAAAAAATCATAAGTAAGGCAAATCAAGTATGCAGGATAGGGCTTATAAAGTGCTGCAAGCCCTGGAGAATGCTGGAATGAAGCTATTTCAATATCAACTAGGTGGAAAAAACTTTATTCAAATTTAGGATCTGGGAGAACACAAGAGACCCACACAGGAGAGAGACTGCATCAAAGTAATTTTGGTGGGAAAGGCTTCAGTTATGTTTCTGACCTTAGATCCCATAGGGAACTCATGCTAGAGAGAAACCACATAAATTCCATCTGTGTGGAAAAGGCTCAGTCCATTATGGAAACTTAGCTGTAAGGAGAGAACACACATTAGAGAACCACATGATGGCCATATGTGTGAGGAAGCCTTTAGCTATACTCCACCCTTAGACAACCCTGGAGGGATGCTATTCTAGGTGTAAAGCCTTTATTAATACCACTGGCCTCATAGAACACTAACACTGGACAGAAACCATATGAACATCATCTTCATGGAAAAGGCTTCAGTCTATCTTCTCATTCTAGATAGCTAGAGAAAGTTCACACTGGGGAGAAACAAAATGAATGTCACATGCATAGGAAAGCCTGAGTCAATCTTCTAGTCCTAGAAAGCATCACAGAGCTGGCACTGCAGAGAAACCACATGGATGTCATGTGGGCAGGAAAGCCTTCAGTGCATCTTGTTTTTGGATGTGGTGCTGCAGGCCAAAGCAAACTGCTGTCTGTGGTGATTCTGTTCCCTCCTGCAAGGACTCTACCATGAAAATCACTATAGTTACCCCATGGTGAAAAGCCGACAACTATGAAATGTGTACCTTATCAAGTTGAGGGGGTCTCCTACCAATGGGTTTTCAACATCCCAGCATGGTGTTTGAGTTCATTCCTCACACTGTGCTTTTGGAACATTTTGTTTCTTCACTTTCAATTTGGCACTGTTGGGTATTGATATGCACATGGGCAGTAGAAATAGAAATGACTTTTTCTGGGTAAAACATTGGGGGTGGGTCCAACTTCCAAGTGGTCATACTACAGCACCCACAGATGTCCCAAACTGCATCTATCACCAAAGTCTCCAACATGAGGCTCTGTATCAAGTCATGTTTGCAGTTCTCACAAGACTTGCTTGAGATATGGATTTGTTTGTCATTTGTTGTTTGTTTGTATGTTTGGGATTGAATCCAAGGGTACTTAACCACAGAGCCAAATTCCCACTCATTTTAATTTTTCATTTGAGTCAGAGTCTCAATAAGTTGCTTAGGGCCTCACAAAGTTGCTGTGGCTCACTTTGAATGTGGGATCCTCCTGCCTCAGCCTCCTGATTCACTTGGATTATAAGCATGTACTGCAATACCTAACTAAGATGTGGATTTTGAAAAAAAAATGTTTAAAGTTTGGAGAAGGAAACACTTGCATAAACAACATAAGAATCTTCCAGTCCTAGACAGCAGGAGAGAAAAAATAAATGAATTTGTCATATGTTGGAAAGCCTCATTCAAATCTAGTCCTTTTTGTCCTAGAAAACATGAGAGAGCTCACACTGGAGAGAAAGCATATGAATGTTACATGTGTGGGAAAACCTTCAGTTAAATTTCTATTTCTAGAAATCATGAGAAAATCCATACTGAGGGAAAACCACATGAATGTTACCTGTGTGGGAAAGCCTGCAGTTGGTATTCTAGTCCTATACAGCATGAAAGAGCTCATGCTAAAGAAAAAACATATGGATGTAATTGTGTGGGAAAGGCTTCATTTGATCTTATTGCTGATAATAGCTTCAAAGACACCACACTGGAGATAAACCATGAGAAAGTCATCTGTGTGAGAAATGTTCTTGCTAATGTGCTACTGCTTTATGACATGTGAAAACACACACTATAGAGAAAGATAAATGCATGTAGTATATTTTGTTCAAACTGGATTCCACTGACATACTCCTGGGTCAAGGGGTATGTTCTCGGGTCAGTGCACTGCTGATAAGACAGAGATCCCAGAGATCATCCAGACATCCCCCAGGGTAGTCACTGGGACAACAGGGATTAAT